TTCTTCGCCCCAACCCCTGGTTTACCTTTCCTGGCTCCATCTTTATGTCTTAATTATATTTTTCTTAGGTGTATGTCTTACATCTCAATCTTTAGCTCAAATTTACTGCCATAACTAACGCACTTCTCTCCAGCACGTATTACATTGAAATTAGCAGATTATCAAGAGTTGCTAAATTACTGAACTGCTGATTGTTCTCTTTTCAACCATCCAATTCTGTACTCATGGTCATTTAATTTAACTTACACTATAGTCTTGAACTGGCTTGTAGCTTCCTCAGAAACCATCTGCTCGCTGAGCTGACCCAATAGAAAGTGTGAATCAGAAGCCCAGCTGTTGAGATGAGTGCTGTGGGAAGCATGCAAGTCCTTTCACTCAAGAGACTCCATGTTCAATGGGCTGTAGATTTGTTGAACCTGACAGTGTCAGAAGAAGCCAGTCAGTTCCTGGCATCCATGCCCATTCTAGCTCTCTGACTGAGCCTTGGCTCTAATTCCCTGCCTTTTCCTCGTTACTTTTTAAGTTGATTGTTTTTAAAATATTTATCTACTTTTAAAAGCTAATAAAGGAATGAGAGTTTCTTTCAGAGCCCGTCATAGTTTATTTATGATTAATCTTCTCCTAGACTTTAAGATTCTTGCATTTTGTTTTTCCTTACAATTAGTATCTGTCATCCCTTGTATCAGATGAATAAATCTCCCCTTTCCCCCGTCTAGCATTCCAAAACTAGGGCACTTAAAATCTGGCATAATATTTTAGCTGTAGCCTAATGATTTGCATAGGCTTATCATTACCTCATTGCTTCTGTACTTGCTGTCCTCATTAATAAAATTAAGCATTCATATGCTTTGTTTTTGCTCTGCTGGCATCAACACTGTAGAGACAGGATGGCTCGAGATGGGTGAGTGCACAACTGATGAGGTTTCCTCTTTGATTCGTGAACTAGGGAGAAGTTCCATCCCCTGGATTGAACTTTGGCTCAATTTATTTCTGCAGTCACACTGATTGGCCAAGCCTAAGTGAATTGTGTTGTGTGTTTAAACAGTACCTTGGATTGGCAGCTTTAATTGCATTCTTGCTCCCCAGGCCCTGTATTCCTTTCCATTATTTTAGAAGATTGATGCTGCAGCCACACCTAGTAGCTAAGAAAACAAAAAAATGTGGAATGAAAATGGAATGTACTGCAAGTGTACAGCAGAAAAGTCAGCATTTGAAGTGACCTTTCAGTCTTGACCCTTTCTCTTATGATGGATGCAGTCAACCAGAGGTTTTGCGTGCTTCAAAGTGGATTGCTAATGCTGGGAAATAAGCTCATTGTCAGTAGCGAGTGCACCCACAATTGTCAGATGCAGAGTAAAGCTGTTCAGCCCATTCTCAGTACAGCTATTTTGTCTCCTTGAGTCCATAACCTTTGGGAAGACTGTGATTCACCAACTCATTTGGCGACCTGTTTTCACACACCTGCTATTGGTTATTCGACATGTCTATCTGTATCTTACCCACCTTAACTCGCCATTGGAAAATGAAGCCTCTCCAATCATCCAGTTCGAAGATGCTTGTGTGAGTTTTTCCACATCCAGTTTTTCTTTAACTACCAAACAGACATGTTCCAAGAAATAGTGAAAAAAATACTAAGCAACATCAGAGGAGCAGGAAAGCTGACGTTTTGGATTGGGACCCTTCTTAAAATAGAAGCACTTTCAAAATGCTCTCACGTACTTGTATGAGAACGATGCACTACAGGTGCTGGAGGTTTAAAACAAAAATAAACTGGTGCAAATAGTTAGCAAATCTGATTTTGATTTGATTTTGTTTTTGATTTTATTATGTGTACTCAAGTACAAGAGTGCAGTGAAAAGTGTACAATGTCACCACACAAGGCGTCATCTTAAGTACAAGTACATAGGTACAGAATCTTAAGAACAAGGTAGAAAGAAAGAACAAAGTTACAAGTTAAACCCTGCAATAATTATAGTAAAACCTATGAAATAATGTTAAAAGTTACACATTGCAGACCTTAGTTTTAAGTGGAAAACAAAGAAATAAAGCTGGAAGCTCAAACATTACAGTCTTTAAGTGCTTAGCTATGATGAGACCACGCGAGAAACATGGTAAACATTTCAGGTCTGTGATTGTTCATTAGAACACCATGAATTCTGTTTCCCTCCACAGATGCTGCCAGACCTGCTGAGTATCTCCAGCATTGTCTTCAGATGTTTGTAATTAGACAAACAAAACAGTGCAATAAAATTAACAATAATCACCTTCCCCCATACAAAGTGTAAAATTGGCAATCTGATGACTGCTCCTATATCATGACACCTTTTTGTTTCAAACTTCAACCTCTGAAAAAGCTCTCAAGTAGTAAAATTGCTTTGCTCTTTTTAATAGTTAAAATAGATCTGATTAAAATTGGCAGCTTGTTAAAAATACCTCGCTTCACTATAAAAATGCTTTGCATGTCTGATTTTATTGTTGAATAAAGTGTCCTGTAGTAGGAAGGAAGGTATGGAATTACTGGGGTTGTGGGAAACTAGATTTTAAAAAATGGTCAGGGGAGAAAATAGAGAGTGGGTGTTAAAGGTAGATTTGGAGTGTTTGGAAATGAGTAAAGGTTCAACATGATTCAGGTTTGAGGTCCGTTCTGCCCATATATATCGATGATCTGAATGTTGGCCAAGAGAACATCATGTTAATGTTTTAGATGGTACATAAGTAGAAAGTTTTGTTAATTCTTCCGTATTTGATTTGATTTATTTATTGTCACATGTATTTTGTTACAAAATACAGTGAAAAATGTTGTGTAGTGTCACCACTCTCCGGCGCCATCTTAAAACACAGAAAAATAAACCAAAACATTGAATATACTGGCAGAAAAATAAAGAAAAAAGTGTCCAACTTCACAGTCCTCCTTATTCAGTGCTCCGCCATAGGCCAAGGGCTGGGCGGCCAGGCATGAGCACTTTCTGTCGTGCCGCCGCACATGGAACAAAAGATGCCGTTCTTCAGCGCTGTCTCGTCTCCACCGATGCCCTCACCACTGAGTCCTCACTGGACCTCACCATTACAGATGCCTCTGATGCTGCTGAGTGTTGTACTGGGCCCAAACTCGCCTCCGCCTCCATGAATCTGTGCTGGATTTAGACGCTGCTGGGAACCTGGACTTGCCTCTGCCACAGCAGCCGTGAGTCCGTGCTGGGCCCCTTGAGTTTGTGCTGGGCTCACTCGCAGAGAGATATTAATAAGGGGAAAGAACAGACTAAGAATTAGCAATAAAATTTAATGTTAGTACAGGTGAGGTGGTGTATTTTGCTCTAAAATAACTAGCAGTAATTGTAAACAGAAACAGAAATTGCTGGAGAAACTCTGCAAGTCTGGCAGCCTCTGTGGAGAGAGAAACAGAGTTAATGTTTCAAGTCTGATATGACTCCTTCACAACTGCTTTTGTTCAGGAGTAAATATACCCTGAAGGGAAGTGGACTCAGTGCTTGGGAAGAGCAGAGAGATACAGGTACAGTTCGCAACATAAGCAGCAACGTTTAACGTTGATATGACTGTGTTTTTTTTAAAAAAAGTCACAAGAATATAAAAGCCAAGAGACAGCAATGTGCTTAAATTAAACCATTTCAGTGTTCTGTGTGCCATGTGGGCTCCACACTATCAGAAACATATTGAGTGTATAGTATGGATTCACTAGGATATTGCCTGATATGTAGTGATATAAAGTCCAGCAGGAAAAACTGGTGTCTTTTTGTTAGATGCTATAGATTGCTGGTTTTTGTTACTTGTGCATGGACTGTAAGCATTGCTGGCAAAGTCAGCACTTGAAGCCTGACTTTAATTGCTGTGTGATGGTGGTGATTTGATGGAAGTGTTGATTCTGAGAAGCTGGAATACAGTGTCTGTCGAGCCAGGCTACTGAGGAATAATAGAAGATTAACTGTAAAAGGTATGGGGGAGAGGGAGGTAAAATGCCATTACACATGGTTGAGAGACTATGAAATTTACTTGAAGGGTTAGAGATTGATGTTAAAACAGTTGGATAAAAGTAAAGATTTGGGCACAAAGTGTTTCAAGCTATTTGCTAATGTGAAGGGTGAACCCTGGTTGAGTTGAGTGGCCTGTTTCCATGCTGTAACTTCTGTGTATTTCTACGACCATGTATTATTTACAAGAGCAGGTCAGAGACTAGGAATACTGCAGTGAGTAACTTACCTCCTGAGTCCCCAAAGCCTTTCCACCATCTACAAGACAAGAGTCAGGAATGTGATGGAATACTCCTCATTTGCCTGAATGAGTACAACCCCAACAACTCCCAAGAAACTTGACACCATCCAGGACAAAGCAGCCCAACTTAATTGGCACGTTATCCACAAGCATCCACTCCCTCCATCTTCGATGCTCAGTAACAGCAGTGTGTACTATCTACAAGATGCACTGCAGAAATTCACCCAGGATCCTTAGAGAGCACCTTCCAAACCCATGACCACTTCCATCAAGACTGACATGGGCAGCAGATACGTAGAAACACCATAAGCTGCAAGTTCCCCTCCAAGCCTTTCACCGTCCTGACTGGAAATATATCACTGTTGTTCATCCAAATCCTGAAATTCTCTTGCTAATGGCATTATGGATCAACTTACAGCATGTTAATTACAGCAGTTCAAAAAGGCAGCTCACCACCACTTTCTCAAGGGCAACTAGGAGCAGGGCAATAAAATGCCACTCAGCCAGCGATGTCCACATCCCACGAGTGAATAAAAAACATTATTGATAAGATTGTTAGGTTAGAATCTGTCTTGTACTGGGATTGCTCAGTTTTTCTGAAATGCTACATTAAGTGGAAGAAATAGGGCTGGATCCTCCCTCGGCTGTTTAAAATGTGGTAATTTTACCTAATGTTTAGAAATCATGGACTTTGAATGTTTGTTTTACATTATTTCTTCATTTTAAAACCTGAATACTGGACAGATAAAACTTTATATTCTTTCCCTTTGCAGGGAATCTGGCGTATTCCTGTGGATGAAATTGACCGTCCTGGCAGCTTTGCCTCACATATGAACCGTTCAATTGTTATCTTACTTGATGTTCTGTCACAGCTGAAGGACCATAATACACTGCTGAGAGTATCTTCCATGCTTCAAAGGACACCTGATCAGGGAAAGTAAGTGTCAGCTTTCAGAGCTTTCTGAATTGACAGCTGCTTGTGACCTGGGTGTTGTAGTTGACTTTGATTTCAGTTAGTTCAGATGCTAATCACTCTGTCCAGCATTTCAACCTCTTTTTTTGTGAATAATGAGAGGCATCTTCGTTCACCTTGCAATAAACCGTGTTCTGTGATGTGCGTGAGATTTTACTAGGTTATCATGTTTAACGATGTTTTTTACCTATTAATATATTTGGTTCTGTTAAGTAAAAAATGATGATGCCAGCATCTGCAGTTCCTACTATCTCTGATGCTGCTGATTTTTGTTTTATGCCAATGAATTTGTTCAATATGATTGTTAACCATCGTGCTCTTTGGTCTCTCCTCTTCTCCTCTTTTAATGATCCCTGTTGCTCCTTTTGTCTCCTTTGTCACATTTTCGCCGATCTCTAATTTGAACTTTATCCCCTCAGGGTTAAACTTCCTCCCTTCAACTTTTGTTTAAATATTGAATTTTCTTTGATGCAAGCTATTTTCTGAATTCTGAGGTGGAGCTGTCATTTCTTACAGCCTTTTAAAATCAATGGATTTTGGAGGAACAGGACTTATTAAACACTTCCACCATTATTGCGATACTTTTAATCCAAATTATTTTCAAAAGCATTGTGAATTTGTAAAGCACCTTTAACATAGCTAGGTATCCCAGGTACTTTGCAGGAACAATTTATCAAAGACAATTTGGTAACAAGCCACATCAGGAGATATTAACATAATCGATTGAAAGCTTGGCCAATAAATTATGGTTTAAGGAACATCTTAGGAAGAGAGAGAGGCAGAAAAGTTGATGGAAGGGAATTCTAGAGTAAGACACCAAAGTAGAGGAAAGAAAGTGGGGAGTCATTGCCAAAATTGGAGGAGCACATATCTTGAACGGTTGCACAGAGGAAGTTATGGAGTTTAAGAGGTTGTTGAGAACAATGCTAATAATTTTAAAATCATAGAAATGTTAGACAGGGAATTTACAAAGGTATTCAAAGGGTGCTGAGTGAACGGGCAGCAAGATTTTGGTTATGGGCAGTGCAAGTGAGAGACCACCTAGAAGATCATTGGAATAATTGAGTTTCAAAGCAACAAAGACATGGCTAAGACAGAGTGGAGGTGATTTATGCTAGAGGTGGAAGTTGGCAGTCTTGGTGATAGACAGCACACAACGGTGGAAGGTTATCTGCATGGAGGGAGTGCAAGAAAGGTTTACCAGACTGATTGCTGGGATGGCAGGACTGACCATGGGGAGAGGTTGGATTGGCCAGGATTATATTCACCAGATTTTAAAAAAAAAAGGGGGATCTCATAGAAACCTATAAAATTCTAACAGCACTAAACAGTGTAGATGTAGGAAGGAAGTTCTGAATGGCAGGGGAGTCCACAACCAAGGGTTACATTCTAAGGATACGGGGTTTAGGACTGAGACGAGGAGAAATTTCTTCACCCAAAGAGTGGAATTCAGTACTGTAGAAAGTGGTTGAGGCCAAAGCATTATGTATTTTTAAGAAGGAGGTAGATATAGCTGTTGGGGTTAAAGGGTATGGGGAGAAAGCAGGAACAGATTTCTGAGTTGGAAGATCAGTCATGATCAGAATGGAAAGGCAGATCAGGTTTGAAGGACCTAATGGTCTACTCCTGCTCTTATGTTCTATGTTTCTATATTTCTGTGTAGGATGCCAAATTGAGGCATTGCACGGTGAGGTGGAGGTGGCTGACACCAGTGTTCTCTCTCTTTTGGTATCTTTATAGCATGGGTCTTGATACAAAGCAGAGTCTGACTGAACATTGAGGTCATATTCGTGACTGAAACAAGTGACCATTTAGTTAGAAAGGCTTCAGGAATTAACTTGCGATAGCTAATGGACCCAATACTTTGTGTAAACAGCCAGAAGATAGTTGGTCCATTTGGCCTGATTTATTGTGCTGGTCTCTCTGCCTTAGCTATCTGCTTTTTCACTGTCAGCATTTTCTGTATTAAAGGCCTTAACAAGCAAATTATATCTTTTCAAATTTCCATTACTGTTTGCACAAACTTTCAACAATGGACATAAAAGATTGAGACTGTGTTAATGGCACAGTTGCTAGTTTTCAGTTGCCTTTCGCAATTTTTAACTTTCTGTATGTAATCATTGCTGCTATACTTTCTTCATCTTTTCTAACAGATATTTTACTGGCTTTCATGCCTCAGGCTACTCTCTCATTCCAAGTGTCAGAAAGTGTTTGCTCTTGGCCCAGACACTGAGGTAAATTAGTAGTGGACTCAGAATACAGGCAAAAACATTCTTTAGTTTATTTCAGCTAGGAGTATTATTATGTGCCCTCCCATGACCTTCTCTGCTTTCAGAAGCTGGCAGAATAATATTACACTAGGCTTTGGCTCAGCTTTGTCTGCCAATAAAATTACCATCCCTGTAAAAGTGGGCAAATCTTAACAATGATAAAACATATACGTTTGTAGTAGTTGTTAAACTAACTTGTCTACTGGTTTAAAAAGAATGCTTTCAGACTGCTGCATTAAGCTAAGATTCAGGACATCTGTCTTTAATGTTGTCCTGTTTAGCATTGTTTTACTTTAATACCGTTAAATTATTAGGACTGTAAATCTTGTTGAGTATTGCTAGATTTGTGTTGACATTGCTTACTGCTGTAACTTACCTAACCCGGTTGGCACTATCTTGGTGTGACCAATGCTGCTGTCAGACTTGAGGCTATTCCCAGCCTTCTGATGTGCAGCTTGTCCCTGTGCCACCTCACTGCTGTGTACCTTAACCAAAGCACCCTTACCATCAAGCCCCAGACCATCTGCAGGAGGTACCATCTACACTGGCCATGCTGAGTGCAGATGTCCCCTTCTACGTCATCTCTGTGACCAAAGGGTCATTATCATCCAACCGCCAAGTGTGCGCAAAACCCAGAAACCCAGCAGCTCCCCTGACAACTGCAAACCATGATCTGCTGCTGGAACCTGGCCACCACCACAGAGAGAGAGAGAACGAGGAAAGGAAAAATCAGCAAACCCAGCCATGACCAACTCCTGACTAGCCCACAGGAGGGAGGCCAAGGGTTTATCTCTACCACGCAGTGACTTGAGCTAACCCCTTTTGGGTCTAGTGGCTCTTCATCAGAACCAGTAGATACCATGACCTTTGAAACATTAATTCTGTCTCCCCACCCCCCTGCCCACAGATGCTGCCAGATCTGGGTTTTGCCAGCAATTTTATTTTTGTTTCAGATCTCTAACATCTGCAGTCCTTTGTTTTATTTTAGAGGACTAATACTGACCAGTCAACCACAGAGCATGTTGGAAAAATAGGGAAAACAAAGTGAACTGGTGCTGACTAGGTTTCAGGCAGGTATCAGGTTTTTTTGCTTTAGATGTTGCTGGACTGGGAAGCTGTTTTTGGTTTTGCATCTCTCTCTAGTTGTTCTCTGGTTACTGACTTGTTGAAGGTTCTGAGAAAAGAACCCCATATGTAAGAAATATGGAAAAAGTCTCCAGAGGTATGCATAAGCTGTTTGCATTGACCAATGACTTTGGAATTCAAGCAAGATATCCAGTCCGATTGTGCCTGAAATACAACTCATCATCCAACGATTTCATGAAGGCTTGGTATTCATTGTTGAAACAGTTATTGACTGGTAACTTCCTGTATTTTTAAAAAAAATTATCCCTTTAAAACTTAAAATTTATCCCTGCATTTAAACATTATCTGATACCTACACTCCAAAAGATTTTACATTGGGGATTAGTGTTCAGATGTTTTACTTGCTGCTGCTTCTTTCTTCAGCCTGGTTTTCTTTCATATCTCTGTCTTTTCAGTGAAGAAGTCACTTTTTATGTTAATATTTTTCTTTAATTTAAGAATTGGTAAATGGAGAATTGTTCTTTACGGCAAAGGTGAAACAAATAAAAGAGTTTAGGGATTCCATTGACTAACTGGATGTAAACATTAACTGCTGTCTACACAGCTGTTTATATTTGCACTGTGCCATCTCAATTCTGTCCTTTGATACTTAGTTTTATACATGTTCTTTAGTGAAGGCTGCAGTTGTTTCCAAGAGAGCTATCTTTCAGTGTTGTATAATTAACCTTTCACTTAACACCAGGTATTTTTTCGAATACCAATCCCATTGTCAGAAGAATTGTTAGTCTTGTATTATATAATACTGACAAGCAGAAATGGTATTGTTCGATGAACGCCAACTCCTCCGCATTGCCACCTACATCTGGAGCACAACCCCCTTCACTGAATGTCAACTCATTATTTCTTGGACCATCATTAACCTCAGCACTTCTGGAGATTTCCCTCATGGCCGGTGATCTCATCACCTGCCTGCTCTGCACAATTTGCTTTTGCCTCCTTTCCAAAATATATAACTTGTTGGATCCGTTGTTTCAACTTATTCATCTCTTTCTCAACTGTTGTTTTCTCTCTTTGTTCAAAGTCCTCTGACCTACATCCATGACCCTTTGCCCTCCTTTATTTTGACAGTTTCTTGGCCGTAACATCTCCTTTTCATTGTGGGCATTTGGTCTATGACTCCAGTCGTCACTAGCACCTTCACTTGTTGCATTTTCTCTAAACTAACGGTGTTAAACTGGAACCTATATCATTCCTGGCCTTTTGAATTAGTCCCCAGAATCCCTGCAGTGTGGGAACAGGCCATTAATAAGGGGCTGTTGTGGTGCAGTGATTGTGTCCTTATCTCTGAACAAGGAGGCCTGTATTCAAGTCCCAAAACATTTCTGAACAAGTTGATTAAAAATATCTATAAGAATTAATATGCAAACAAGGAACTCGGAAGGCACATTCTGTTATATGAAATTGTTACAGCTTGTGCTGATGAAAGATAAATGGGATTATTATGAAGTGACAATTGCATCTTATTAAGTTACCAAAACAAATATAATGCTGAGTAGAAATTGCACTTCTGTATTTTTTTTTTTAAACTATTTTCCTATGTAATGGACC